CTTTGTAGATAATAAGGACATACTAGGTAGATGTGCATATCGACAGGAAATTATGATTCAATTTTTTTTCTAGGAGTTACGCCCCTTTGAACTTATTTGCTTCAATATACCTCTGCAACAGTTTGTCATCGCAACTCCTCTGAAACCACACAACAGAATTTCATGAAACTTTGTAGATAATAAGGACATACTATGTAGATGTGCATATCGACAGGAAATTATGATTCAATTTTTTTTTCTTATACAATTTTTTTTTCTTACAGTTATTTTATTTTTCCAGTGACAATGTGGGGACATGGGGTATGTGAGCGCGCTCACTAAGGTTCTTTAATTTCAGAAAGGTCAATAATCAGTATTTACATTTATGCCCTTTGTAAATAGAATTTATAGTAAAAATTGCATTTGAAGTGATCTCAAGCCTACATTCCTTATAGAATATAAATGAAAAAGTTATTTGAAATTATATCTGTATATATAGCAGGCAGGGGACATTGAAATTATGTACCTTTTTTTTTTTTATTTGTGACTGGTTTTTTTTTTAACAAACAATTTGAAAGAATTGGATAAAAAAAAAAATTAAGTCACCAGCCTACATTAGATATTTAAAAATAAAAATGGTGAAAAAATTGCCTTTATACCTTGTGTAATCCTTATGAATGAAGAGTTTAGTGATTACACATGCATGATTTATACAGTAGTAGTGATTGTACCTTCTTCTCCAATGTTTGAAATATAATCAATAGGTTTGCTTAAATCTTGAAATCTGCTCCCAGCTTGTGAAGATTGCATTTTCTTTCGTGATCTGTTTTCCTTTTTTATATCTAGCAGCCAAGATGGAGTATGATTTGACCTATTTAGAATTCTGTCTTTTAATGGTTTGTTGCCACCTATTAGAAACAGAGGGTGGATAAATCGTGCAGCTAAGGCCAGCACTAAAATAATTTTCTGGATAACTTCTGATAAATTTGTAACATGATTTCGATAAAAGAATACCATATGTGGTTCAAAGCACATCCATGTAGCTGGAAAAATAATACTTTTGGCTTTCGACGGCAGAGATTTCAAAAAATACTTGTTCCTCATGTTGGCTATTGTCCAATGTTCTCCAGGCGCTATTGTATTTTGTTTCATGACATATTGAAATATTTTTACCATGCTTCCAATAATGATAATAGTTAAGATCATGCTAACACTGATGAGTTCTATTCTCATATTTTTTGGATCAAGAGGTGAAATCGCAAACAAGGCTGGCTGTACATTTATATCAGATTTGATATAAAATACTGTTAAGCAGTAGAATGATAGTATAATACAACCTGTTAATTGGTAAATTATAACTCTCCTTAGATTGCAAAATACACGGCTATGTTGATAAGCATAGTTTATATACAGTAATTTCTCAACAGATAGTAACGTTATGCTGTACAAATTTATTAGTTGTGCAATAGCGTTGAACATTCCTAAGCAGTATGCTCCAAAGTATGTAATTGTACACTTTTCTCTTGGAAGAAGTATAGTAGCCATTGATATCTTTGGAGCAAGAACACAAATGTCGCTGATGATGAACACAATTATCATAATGTTTCCCGAAGTTTGTATTTTCTTATGTACGATTAAAGTACATATTAATCTTAAACACATCATTAATAAGAAAAATAAAGTTACATAGGAAAATGACAGTTGCCAAATTTTGTTCAATAAAACTTTATCAAATGGCACTGCTGATACAACAATGTAGTCACTATTACGTACAGTAGAAATATTGTCAGTCAATATGCTATTAAATGTACTAGTGCAATAATCAGAGGTTCCATTTTGATGATAAAATACACAAGTTTCATCATCTGATGTAACGCTACCAGAAACGTATTCTGAACTTGTGTTATAAAATACTAAACTTTTCCCTGTGGTCATCATAAAGGTATCCTGATTAAAAATAGTCTATATAGAAAAGCAACAGTATTTGCTTCAATGCTAAATATGATATGATTATTTACCTATAGTATATATACCACAATATGTTGTATAGGATTCATGCGCATAATATTATTTTATTCAATAGCAATCCAGCCTATAGAAATCTATCAGCTATATTACATTTCATTATGATTATACTAATTTGAGTAGATGGTTAGCAACATTAACATCACATTTAGCATTGATTTAATATTTTTTGTTGGCCAGATTAAACCATAAGACAAAAGACTATAATTCTTTTTCTATAATTTTTAAAAGGATTTTAATTACTGTGAATTGAAAGTCAACCTGAAACAGAACAAAAGTTACCCTATATACCCATATGTATACAGTATATCAATGATTGTGATATATCCCCACTACTAATCTTATGTATTGGGTAAATTTGACCTGTATTTTAAATATTTTAATTGCTTTTTGTTAACTACTGTGTTTAAGCATGTTAAGTCTGTTTCTTTCAATGTTGGTGATATTTGAATATTTCGTCATTGCTGTGGTAAGCTGTTCAGCAATAAGAAATAATGAGATATGGTATTATTGCCAGAGACAACAATCCACCAGAGTTCAGTAATGAGCAAAACCCATTCTGAATAGTCAGTTATAAAAGTGCCCAACATAACAAAATGTAAAATAATTCAAATGAGAAAACCAACAAATTTATGACAAAATTATTAATGAAAAACCATTCTGATAGCAATGGTCTACTTTCACCTTAACTAATGAATTTGGCCCAATTTTACCTTTTCAAATTTGTAATAAATAGACAGAAACTGTTAACAGCAAAATTGATCATCAAGATATACAAGTCAGTCATATCGCTGAAACTAAATTGAATGTTTATTGGACGGGGAATACTGGTTTTCCTCTGTCCATCTGTCTGTCTTTCTTTCTTCCTGTCCATCTATCCACCCATCAAAGCCTTCTGAAATTTTTTATCATTTTTCGTTTGAGCTTGCTATTTTGTGTGATATTTTTTCTCATCCCTCACACATCAACTTCTTGTTCACTGAATACTCACAGCGTCAGGATCATTAGTGATCAATAGCTCATAGTAGATCTTGTTATATACCGGTACTAATGGTCCAAAGATCTGCTCAAGATATGTCAGCATAAAAAGTACCATGACAAGTCAGTTTTCATGAAAATTAAATCCATCATGTTATTCTGCCAAAAGCTTGTCTCATGAATAAAACCCCATACTTGACATGCTTGATCTGTAAGTCATCATAGTACACTGAAAAAGTATTTCAGATTCAGGCATAATAGAAAAAAGCCAGGACAACAGTTTGATTTTAGAAGGGTGGACAGATGGATGGCTGTTAACATCTAGCATCAAATTAAATGCGTATTCAGAAAGAGAACATCTATACTACTAAAGGAAGAGACCGATTTCATTGAACCGCAACTCCTATGAAACCATACAAAGTCGGAAATATTTGTGATATGACAATATAAATGTAGTGTTTTGTACTTCCTAAATTTGTCTTTAAAACAATCTTTTTTCCACAGAAAACGCCAATTTTTGAGAAAATATCCAAATTCGGAGACCGTTATTGGTCCGTGTCTTATACAGTTTCGTGCATGCTCAGTCGATTTTTTTCTTTGTGTTACTCATTTTGATCCCTTTCAGTAATGTCAACGGATTTTAGGTAGCTCATACGGTTATTGAGTTAAAAGGGTAAAAAACTACTGAAAATCACACTTTGCCACACTTTTCTTAGGGTATTTAATATTTTTATTTTCCAACCAAGATGAATGGGGTCTTTTGCATTTATGTTCCTCATTTTCATCTCTTTAAAGAAATAGAATTAAATGCATTAAACGTGTCCAAATCCTTACTGTGTCCACACTCTTTGTTTCAACACTTGCCCAATTGTACCGCGATTTCGCGGGCATCTTCTAGTGTTAATGTAATAGGAATAGGAACCCTGCTTTGTACTAGAACGACACTGGGCGCCGGATTTTTAATGAATTGGTTCACAAGTTAACAGTTTGCAGGCATACATGTTACCTTACCTGGACACATTATTCTGATTCCAAGACAATCAGTCTTTGCTCTTACTCTTTAATGCTGCATGCTTAGAAGAAAAGCAGAAAATACCAATTTTAAAGTATTTGGTTTGACCCGGCTGGGGTTCGAACCCACGAACTCCCACTCTCAAGGCCAACATGCTGCCAGGAGACCACCTAGGTGGTAATTGATTTCAGAAGGAACGACAAGGGTTACATAATATTCTCTTACCACTTAATGAAAGTAGCCCTTAAAGAAATTCTGTTGAGGATGAACCTTATCAAGGTGCAGGCTCTGGGTTGAGATCTCACAAAACATGTTTAACCCCGCCGCATTTTGCGCCTGTCCCAAGTCGGGAGCCTCTGGTCTTTGTTAGTCTTTGTATGTTTTTTAATTTTAGTTCATTTATATGTTTTGGAGTTTAGTGTGACGTCCATTTTCGCTGAACTAGTACACAATTTTATTTAGGGGCCAGCTGAGGACCACCTTCGGGTGCAGGATTTTCTCGCTGCGTTGAAGACCCATTGTTTGCCTTCGGCTGTTATCTGCTCTGTGGTAGGATTGTTGTCTCTTTGACATATTCCCCATTTCTATTCTCAATGTTATCTGATATGATGTCAGCCTATTATCTGTGGATTGATTGTTATTTGTGGTGTTCCAATTTTCGTGGATTGATTGTTATTTGTGGTGTTCCAATTTTCGTGGATTGATTGTTATTTATGGTGTTCCAATTTTCACGGATTTCGTGGTTAAAGTAAAGTGTGAATATATATTTTCAACAAAGTAGAAAGTTTTTAAAAAGAAATGTATCATGTGCAGATTTTGGCAAACCAACAAAGTCAAATATCCTCAAAAATGCAGTTTTCCTCTATCCACGAAAATTGGTACCCATAAAAATAAAGGAATCAACAGTTTTAGACAGTGCAGCTTATTTATCTAAATACAATATTTGATCATGGTCCTGGTTCATACAAAAAAAGATGATTCATTTTTTGTAAATTTTCTATTTTAGGATCTTAGCGTGTGAATCTCAGCCAAGATGTTGTTGCTTTGGTCCATATAAAACTTCTATAGCATTTGCAGGAATGGTAAGTAAACAATCTTAAATGAATGAGTAATAGATAATCAAAACTATATCCTTTAAGAGTTTAGAACATATTTTCTCTCTTTTACTTATCTGATCTTTTTCTCTGACATTAGAACTCTGAGCGTATTGTGTTTAGAGACCTTTTTTTGTCAATTTTCTCCCAATATCTTATCTTTTCAGATTTATTGTTTAAAATTAATGAGTTTGACAAAAGATATATTCATCTGTAAAAACAGAACCTATAAATATTGAAATGTTTTAGTTATTGCCAATAAGACATATTCTACTAATAACACTCTTCAGCCTAGGAGATGTAACAATAGCACAAATTTCTTAGTTTGTTACAAATTGTACGTGGGTACAATTAATGGCAGGAATATTGAGTACACCTTCATACTTAACTTAAAAATCAATAAAGATATTCTACACATATAAATTAATTTATGACAAAAAAAGAGAAGACCAAAATAATTACAAGGTGAACATGTTTGATCCACAATTGATTGCTAACAATGACGAGCACCTGTTTGTTTCACACTACAGTAGAGGGTCTAGATGGGGTTTACAGAATAGAGCATAATGGGCGAAGGATTTAAAGAATAGAGAAAAATAGGCAAAAAAAAAAATAAAGAATAGAGAAAAATAGGATGCTAAGATATAAAGAATAGAGAATAATGGGCAAAATTTATAAAGAATAGAGAAAAATGGCCTGAAACATTAGAGAATACAGAAATGAAGGACCCCCATCCAAACCCTCACAGTACACACATGTTTTTAAACACAGTCAGAAAAGAGGACAATGATAAAATATGTTGTTTTTATTATAAACCAACTTGGATAACATCTCAAGTTTATAAAAAATGTTTAAAAAACATTTTATACTGGAACAACATTCACAATCTGCAAAGTCTAAAAATTCTGTAAGTCATCACAGATTAAAATGAGTTATACACCTCGCTGCTTGGAAAATAATATGATTAGCACAGGTAGCCGTCCCAGTATTTATAGCATGGTATAGCTATAACCATAGGTCAGGATTTTGACCTGTTTAAATTGAGATGCCTTGTTGTTCCACAGGAAATAAGTGCAATTGTTACATCTACTCGAGCCTGAGGCTCTATTACTAGGATGACTCTCATCCTTCACTCTCCAAGTTATGTTTGGATGAGAATCCATTTTGATTTCTGATATCATTTTTGTATATGCTGCTTTTCCTGATGTTGCATTAATTTATCTCTAATTTTCTCATGCTATGATAATGATAATTTCTGTACACTGCACTTGCCTAATACTAAAAACCTTTTACCAGCATATTATTTGATTAAAATATTCCATCTGTACTCAGTATATAACTGGAAAATTTATTTTGGTCCATGAAGGGACAAAACCTCTTGGGTAAGCAAATTAACTGTGGATTTGATTTTAAGATTTATCATTACAAAACAAAATAATATTACTCTATTCATTTTATCAGGTTGATGGTTCTATATGTGCCTGGGATCTAAGAGAACCTCCGTCCCTGCACAGATCTGTAGAGTTTGATAAAACAGAACATCTTCTAAGATTTCCAACTTATAATACAGGTAAATAGTATTAATCTTTTTGTTTGTATACTTCAGAAACATTACATTCATTTTATCTTCATTTCATATACGGCAATACTCCTTGTATAAATTTCCTTATGTGGCAATTGTTTGATAATTCTTCATAGGGTTAGAATTAACAAAATTTCAAATTAGACTAATTTGTGAAAGCCTGCTAGTTTCAAATTGTTGTCAATTTGTCAAACTTTGAGGAAATGAAATATTTGTGATCCCCTGGTATTTGTTTGCGTTATTGTTGCTATTTTACAGTCGATATACCCGATTCCAACAGGCCACATCAGTCTAATGTTAATAAAAAGTATGATTTATGAATTATCTTCCTTGTCTTGAGAGAAGTTATTATACTTTTGCGGTCATATATTGGTATGACGTTGGCGTCGTTGTCGTCCGAAGACACATTGGTTTTCGCACAATAACTTAAGTTTAAGTGAATGGATCTCTATGACATTTTACCATAAGGTTCAATACCACAAAAGGAAAGTTTGGATTGATTTTGGGGGTTATGGTACCAACAGTTAAGGAATTAGGGGCCAAAAAGGGGCCAAAAAAAATAAGCATTTTTCTAGTTTCCAGACAATAACTTGTGGAACGGTGTATGGATGACTATGAAATTATACCACAAGTTTCCATACCACAAAGGGTTGGTAAGGATTTGCTTTGGGGGGTTATGGCTCAAACCGTTTAGGAATTAGGGGCAAAAAAGGGGGAAAAACAAGGGTGTCCTGGTTAATGGACAAATACTTTAGTGCAAAACATATTTTAAAGCAGTGTAAGGGAGGTAATTCAAATACATCATTTGAATTACCTCCCTTACACTGCTTTTAAATTATGTATAAAGTAATGGTTAATGAACAATTAAGACAATTTAAAAGCAGTGTAAGGGAGGTAATCCAAATACAACGTTTTGATTACCTCCCTTACACTCCTTTTAAATTATGTTTAAAGATATGCATATTTATAAAGGAAGACCAGTGAAAATATCTGCAAATGTTGCATATTTTTTTATGCCCTGTCGTAGGGGAGGGGGCATTAAGTTTTGCCCTTGTCCGTCTGTATGTACTTCTGTCCGTACGTCCCAAAATTGGTTGCTGTTCTCTAACTTGAGTTTGCCTCAACCAAATGTTATGAAACTTATACACAATGCTCATTACCACAAAACACAGATCAAGTTTGAATTTTGGTAGCGTCACTTTAACCGTTCTAGAGTTATGCCCCTTTATAAATGGAAAAATTGCAAAATTTTTATTTTCCTCTAAATATCAAGTAATTTTTAAAATTGGAGTTATCTTCCTTTGTCCATTATTATAGTTGATTCAACTACAATTAATGCTTTATACACTGCAATGTTTAATTTTGACTTCAACTGATAAAACACAGATCAAGTTGAATTTGGGAAGTGTGGCTTTAACCATTATTGAGTTATGCCCCTTTATAAATCGAAAGATTGCAAAATTTTTAGTTTCCATTCTGTAACTTAAGTTTGCCCCAACCAAACATTATGAAACCTATACACAATATTCATTACCACAAAACTAAAATCAAGTTCAAATTTTTTGTTTCCGTTTTCTAACTTTAGTTTGCCTCAACCAAATGTTATGAAACTTATACACCATGCTTATTACTACATAGTACAGATTAAGTACGAAATTTGGTGGCGACACTTTTACCATTCTTGAGTTATGTCCCTTTATAAACATAAAAATTGCTAAATTTTTCGTTTCCGTTCTCTAACTTTAGTTTGTCTCAACCAAATGTTACAAAATTATACACAACCGTTCTAGAGTTATGCGTGTTTACAAATAGAAAAATTGCTGAATTTTTAGTTTCTGTTCTCTACTTAAGTTAGCCTCAACCAAATGTTATGAGACTTACACATAATGCTTATTACCACAAAACTCAGATAAAGTTCAAATTTGGGTAGCGTTGGGGGTTAATACACAACAGCAAAGTGTATTGCACAAAAGCAAAAAAAAGGGGGGTAATTTTTTTTTTTTTTGTGGGGGGAGGGGGGGGGGGGGGGGGGGGGGGGTCAATTCGCAACAGCAAAGTGTATTGCACAAAAGCAAAAAATTGAATATAAAATCAAATCATATAATCAATTCTAAGTTCTTTGACTACAGTTATTCTGTGTCAGAAACCTTTTATGTGTCAAATATTTAATTACAATCCAAATTCAGACCTGTATCAAGCCGAATATTGCGTCCATTTTTGCCCCAACTGTTCAGGGTTGGACCTCTGCGATCATATCCAGCTGCGCTCGGTGAAGCAATTTATTTCTTTAATTTAATAGCAGGTATATAAGATTCAGAGAACCACATCTGTCCAGTGATAACAATAGCTATGTGTCACGGAATAGAAGTTCCTTCACAATATAAGTTAAAAGGAAAAAATATTCTGGAATATTATTTCCACAGGAATAAATATTACAGTATATACAGTAACTGAATAAATGGTATAGAATATTTGATCCGACAGGAATAGATATTATGACATTGTTTATAACAAAGTGTCCAGTGGAACTTCTGTTAGGCGGAACAAATATACGTTGACATATGAACTATTTCCCTTTAATTTTTTATACAGCATGGTATATCATGATCAGTTTCAGGTAACCAAATAAAATAACAATTATTATCGAGTTTTCTCCCTTTACTTGGATGAAGTTATTTCTTTCATTTTACATCAAATTCAGAGAAACAAATTATTCCAGTGACAGCCATTACTTAAAATTATCTCCATTGTCTGTGATTAAGTTATTTCCCATTTATTTTATCAGTCAAGTGACGATCATTACTATGAATTATCTCCCTTGTATGTGATGAAGTTATTTCCCTTTTATTTTACAGCTGGTATATCAGATTCAGATAACCATATCAGTCCAGTGACAACAATAAACCCTGTTACAACTTACGTAGATGAGTAAGTAACAAAAATCAATGTAGAAAAATTTTCAATTATCTTAATTGCCTAATTGTCATATTTCTACCTTTAGCAGGATTAAATTGTTGCTTATAACAACTGGTTCTTTTGCTTAGCTTGATATCTGAAAATTTTAATCAATAAGCATATTAAAAATAAACATCAAAGAATTGAAAAGTTTGCCAATAGCAGGAAAAAACAAACATTTCATTTAGTTTGATTGGTCAAATTAGAATCTTGTTGTAAGATTTAACAGGACAATTCCAGGGCTTTCAATAGAAGGCGGTAGGCAGTGATTTTCGCCGTCTACTTGAAGGAAATCCGCCGCCTACTTTGCTCAAAAGAATAAAATTAAAAAATCAATAAAAATGACTGAAGGGGAAATTTATGCTGTAGACACAACAAAGGGGGATTTCCGATAAAGCGTGGTTTATATTTATAACCTTTCCCTATCTACGTGAAATGACCCGAGTAGTCACGAACGCCTCAGTTGGGATCGCTGTCAACAAGAGCAAGGCGAAAACTACTGAAATTAGAAACCAGCAGAAGGCACCCAAACACTGTTCGTAAAGAGATTCCTGATTGGTCGATTTACAACCGTTTTTTTTAAACGACCTACAATTGGTGTAATTAAAAGGCGTGAATGAAAATGAAACATAAACAAAGAGACATCAGTCATTGGATAAGGAAAACACAAAAACAAGGTGCTTTATAAATATTGAATGGAAATACAACTTATTCAAAGAAGAACACAGTTTATTTTCACAATGTTAAAATAAAAAAAAAAACACACCGATAACAATGTACAGCCACTGACCCACGTGTTCACAAGATCTTAATCAATATCAATTGATTTTTTTTTTAATTAAGCAGACCCATAATCATGATCACCATGACCACCTTGACTTGTCTGTGAATGTCCATAATTGATCATTGTTCAAATTACAAATTTACAGTTAATGATAACATCTTGGTAATATTTATATTTTACATTCCATATAAAACTCCTAAAAAGTATTTACATCAAATTTCACTCATTATATATAATTTACTACAGTGGAAAATCACACAGTTTTGGTAATATTAGGCAGTAAAACATAAGATGAAGAATTGTGATACCTTACAGTTTTGAAGTTCACACTTTATTTACCTGAAATGAAAATCAATACAAATTAACTCAAGAAATATAATTAAATTTTATTAATGAATAAATGATTGAATTTGGATCTTTCCCTATATTATCACCATGTCATTGCTATTCTCAAACAACTTCAAATACAAGCTGTAAGTTGAAAGTCTGGATCAAATGCAAATATAAATGTGATCAAATTTACAGAAAATTCAACCATGCTACAAATTTTAATCAAACATTTACATTATTCATTAAAAAATGATGTTTTGAGAGGACTGAATAAGGGTCCAGGAGACTCCCAGAATGCAGGATTTTGCACCATTTTAAAAAAAATTCGGGGCACTTGAGCGCACCCCCTGTCGTAGATGCGCCGAGAAAGCTCGTCGACGCGGCTGGAAACGCCATCCACATTAAGTGGACTCCTACTTTTTTGTTTTAGCCTCCTACTTCAAAACTTATTTAAAGCCCTGAATTCCAATGCACACATGTAGCCAGAGGGTTTTAGGGTGTTAGGATGAACACCCCCTCCTGAAAATGTTAAAAATACAATCAAAGACTTATAATGTCAAGACTCAGATTCAAGATTCAAAGTCCGAGCATGATGAACCCAAAATAATAATCCTCAGAGACATTCTGGATAAGAGCCAGCCATGACTGATATATAGATACAGCAAGATAAGTTTTATCTCTTGATAAGAATAAATTCACATATATACAGTCTTTTATATTTTTTTTTTTTTAGAAATTCACAACAAGAATCAGATTCCAAAGAGGGTAAGTTTAAATAAGTCTTGGAATTTCTCTGTGTCTTTTTCCCTTCATCTACTATTTCTGAATTTTGGACATCTTTTGATAAACAATCTGATTTGTGAAGATTCTGTGAATTATTTCAAATGGTCAAAATTCTTTGTCCCAGGAAGCAAAGTCTGTTCTTATTTTAAAAGAAGCAACAACAAAAGTATTGCTTCATTAATTTCATTATTGAACATTTATTGCTTAACCCAATTTTTAGCTACCGAATTCAGTCTTGTATAGTCCTCGGTTTTATTCTCAAAAATTGAACCTGCCAGACAGGTGCAGATTATAGAGTACAATAAGCAGGAAATAAGAGAAAATTTTGATTTCGTGAGGTTTATTTATGTTCCGCCAAATTTGTTATTGAAATTGTAGAGTGCGCTCTTATCATTTTTAAAACTAATAATTTACCTAATCCATATTGATATGCAATTCTATTCAATATCTAATATAGGAACGAAAATAGTGTATAAGTCAGCCTTGACCAGCTTATCCATAATGATATATAAACTACAAAACTTAATCGATTATTCGTTTCATTTTGGTGTTTCAAACTGACACATGTGTTTTATTTTGGTGTTTCAAACTGACACATGTGTTTTATTTTAGCTTAAGATCCTTCAAACATTTATGTGATGGATATGTTAAACATTATTTTACATAAGGATGGAACTGTTTTACTTTCAAAGTCGTATTCTAGTGATATTTATTAAGTATGGATTTTCTGTGCACTCTCACCGTATTTATTCTCGATTTACACGTGCTATTCAAACTTCTGGTTCAAACAAAAACAAGTTTTAATTAGATTCTATTTTAGGTCTATCAGTTTTAGAGATAAGTAGGGTTAGAGAGACCCAAAAGGGTCCACATTACAAAGAGTAACCTTTTGGAAAAGTCTGGTTTGGATGATACTTTTTCCACGGAATGTCTTAAGAAAAACATGTTGCACTTTACTCACACAAAAAAAGGGATATTCACTCTTAAATCATGATTAGTTCAGTATAATTTATAATCAGTTACAATGATGAATCCTTAGAAATTTTATGAAAATAGCTTTGATAGGCTTTTCATAAAACTTTCTTAAGTTGTGGCCATTTCCTAAGATATTAGGGTTTTAAAGTGGACCAAACCAAATGTCTGTCAGTTCTTTCATCCTGGATCATGTTTGGTTTTGGGTTTAGGTAGGTTGCCATGAAGTTGTGGTCACATCAACTTAAATGAAATGCATATGACTTTATGTTCAATATGGGATGAGATTTGGTTGTTCACTGAACATGGAAATGAGGTAGTGTGAGAGGTTTTTTTCTTGTTTGAAAATTATCTGACCACATGTCTTGTACAGTGTCAGTCATTTTTAGGAGTTATCCTTAGTACAAAAGGAAGAAAAGAATAGTATGTACATGTATTATATTCTGTTATCATAGACGAAAAGAAGAATACTGGTAAATGAAAATCAATCAGCTATGTAATAGAGTGTGTGAAATTTATGCTAAAAATGTGTGTCTGCTACAAAAAAAGTGTATAGATTAATATATAGAAAACTTTGGGTTTACATCCATTAAATATCTACAATTAATAACTTTGGGTTTATATCCATTAAATATCTACAATTAATAACTTTGGGTTTATATCCATTAAATATCTACAATTAATAACTTTGGGTTTATATCCATTAAATATCTACAATTATGCACATCTTGATGACACCATTTACCAGTAAGCCCAATGACTATATTCATATGTCAAATTTACCCAATACATGAAATTTTTAGTGAGAAAATATCACATTCATTGATATAGTCCAGCTACTTGCATTAAACAAATGAACAACACTTAAAACATTTACTAACATGAATCAACAAAAAGGTCAATTGAAATCTTTTAGTCATATTTTAAGTTGAAAGGTGTTTGTATTTGCATTTAATGCAATATATGTTACATTGAGTAACTTATGTAGACTTTATTTAACCTTTGGGTGGAGAGTTGTCTCATTGGCACTCATACCACATCTTCTTATATCTATTTAATAATTAATTAGTGAATGTAACATGATGATTCTGAAATTACAAGCTTTAGTTTCTAAACAATGATAATAAACCCAAATATCAGAATATTATATATGCTAAACTTCAGGCTCATATGCCTAAAATTTGTTTGCTTGCTATCAGTGTAAGCTTAACATCTTGTTTTCATGAAGTCAGATTTGATGATATACATTTTGCTTACTTATTGTTAGTTTAAGTTTAACATCCTGTTTCCATGGCATCAGATTTTATTATTAACCTCAGTTTTTCTTGCTATTACAGTTCAAGTTTTGCTAGTACATGTAATTGACATTTCTTGTTTAACTTAAAAAATCTTAGATACTAGCTATAAACTGTGTTAAAAAGTGTTGTGTATATATAGATTCAACCACTGTTTAGAGTGTGAAAAGATATTTCTCCACTCGAGACAGTTAAAGTTTCAAATTTAAAACGTTGCCTGCCAAGATATTAACTGTTGAGAGTGGAGAAATAAGGCATAGCAAGTGATTTGGTGGTAGAACCTTTCTCTCTAATGATTTGTAGAAAATTTGTAGCCGAAATTAATATTTCCTTTTTCCTGACGTCATAATTACAAATTCAGAGAAAAGCAAGTAAATTTGAAGTCACAATTGAATTTTGACCAATGAAGAACTGAAATCAAAGGAAGCACACGTTGATAATAAAAAAATAATCAACTGGTCAGAAGAAGAATTAGAGAAATACATGTACAAAGAATTATCAGTTCTGTCCACCATTACATTCATTGTCAATAACAGGTTTGCTTGATAAGGTCACAAAAAAATAAGGAGATGTGGTAGGATTGTTAATATAAAGAACAACAGGTCACCATAATGCCTTCAATAATGAACAAAACTTATACCCCTTAGTAAGCTACATAAGGCACTGGGATTTTAAGGGTTAACAGGTTTTTACTAGTAGTTAGTACTTTGTATTATTTGTGGGAATATTGTTTGAGTTTTTCTCAATTGGAAACCAATCATTAACAAGACACAGATAGTACCAAATTCAAAAAAATATTGATGTTTTATAGTTAAGTACAACATTTATGTAATTGTTAAAACCTTTAGTTATGAGGACAAAATATTTTTTTTAATATTAAGATATTAAAATAGTTTGCTGAAGTATTTGCATACACTGTATATTTATTTTCCCTATCAGCTTAAACAAATACTGAGCCATATAAATATATCTTAGAAATAATTGATTTTAATCATTCTATTTCAGATTCTGGATCTGGTATGTCCTTCCAGCTGGTGTCCAGTGAAGATCAGGGAAGAATTAATTTTTGGGTAGGATATAATCATGATAATGCTCATAGCTTCTCTCTCTGAATCCAGTGTATTACGGTACCTTTCACATCATTGAGAAATTGCTTTATTTTATTTTATTTTTAAGTTAGTTATATTTTTTTTTATTGTGCATCTTTTAAAAGATGCATTTTGATTTATATTTCTTGTTGATCCTCCAAGTATTCTGAAGCCTCAGTTGCTGAGTGATCTAAGTAGTTTTATCTACAGTGATTACTAACCTGTCTTAACCCCCTAGGATTGCTAGTTTTCCTGCTAAAGGTCATGGTTCTCTCCATCACTCCAGTTTACCACACCATAAAAACTTCACAACATGATAAAGCCATGTGTGGTGAAAGTGCTGCTAGCACCAATAATCAATTCATCAATCAATCCAAGTTCAAAGTGCATTCCTCTGTCAAAATTCTTTTGCAATTCTAGATTGTTGCAAAAGCAAAAGCAACAAAGGTATTGAACAAATATTGTCTGCTGAAATAAATTGGTTCCTGTGAAACACTTTGATTTATCTGATATTTTGCTAAATATACAATGTACTATTTTATTTCTAATTGAGCAATTTTGATTTGACCAGCTAACAGTTTTTATACGACCGCAAAAAAATTTTGGGGATCGTATAATGGTATGATGTCGTCGTTGTCTGCGTCGTCGTCCGAACACACATTGGTTTCCGGACAATAACTTAAGTTTAAGTGAATTGATCTCTATGAAATTTTTTAAGAAGGTTCAATACTACAAAAGGAAGGTTGGGATTGATTTTGGGGATGATGGTCCCAACCGTTTAGGAATTAGGGGCCCAAAAGGGGCCCAAAACAAGCATTTTTCTAGTTTCAGGATAATAACTTGTGTATAAGTATTTCGATTGCTCTGAAATTGTACTACAATGTTTAATACCACAAGTAGAAGGTTGGGATTCATTTTAGGGGTTATAGGGGCCAACAGTTTAGGAATTAAGGGCCAAAAAGGGTCCAAAAACAAGCATTTTTTCTAGTTTCCAGACAATAACTTGTGTGTAAGTGTATGGATCCCTCTGACATTGTACCACAAGGTTCCATATAACAAAGGGAAGGCTTTGATTGAGTTTGGGGTTAATAGCCCCAAACATGTAGGAATTAGGGGCCAAAAAAGGGCCAAAAACAAGCATTTTTCTAGTTTCCAGACAATAACTTGTGTTTAAGTGTATGGATCTCTCTGAAATTGTACTATAATGTTCCATACTACAAAGGAAAGGCTGGGATTGAGTTTTGGGGTTATTGCTCCAAGGGGGGTTTCAAAAAGTTGGGGGGGGGGGGGGAATTTTTTTTCCCAATTTTTTTTAAGGGATTCATATTTTTTTTTCAAAATTTTTCAAAAGTTTCAAGAAGAAATCTTCAATTGCACAGTATTGCGCAATAGATTTGTAAGATCTTTGACCACATTTATTTTGTGTCAAAAACCTATATTATGTCAAAAATTTGATCACAATCCAAATTCAGACAGTATCAAGCTTGAATATTGTGTCCAAATTTGCCCAAACTGTTCAGGGTTGGACCTCTGCGGTCGTATCAGGCTGCGCTCAGCGAAGCATTTTATTTAAGGCTTATTCCACAATCTTCCGAAATATAAATGACTTCATACAAGACATAGACAAATATACGAATGTTGCAAAAGTCAACATATTTATTATCTGATGTTACTTTTTAGGTTGTTGCAGAATTAACTACTACAGACCCAGCAGGATCAGAGATTGACCTTGGGTTATCACCTGGTGGCAAGGTTAAAGTTGTTATTAGTTCTACAATAAAACTGGAGAGCTTAGTCAGGTATGTACAGTCAAACCTGTATATAAAGGTCACCCAGGACCAGAGAAAACTGACCTTACAAAGTAATTAAGGCTCAAAATGACAATTTTATACGACCGCAAAAAAAATTTTGTCGTATATTGGTATGACGTCGTCGTCGTCGTAGTCGTCTGAAGACACATTAGTTTTCGCACTCTTACTTTAGTTTAAGTGAATGGATCTCAATGAAATTTTACCATAAGTTCAATACCACAAAAGGAAGGTGGGGGATTGATAAAAATAAGCATTTTTGTAACTTCCAGATATAACTTGTGTGTAAGTGTATGGATCTCTCTGACATTGTACCACAAGGTTCCATATCTCAAAGGGAATGCTGGGATTGATTTTGGGGGTAATTGCCTCCAAATTTTAGGAATTAGGGGCCAAAAAGGGGCAAAAAACAAGCATTTTTCTAGTTTCATGACAATAACTTGTGTGTAAGTCTATGGATCTCTCTGAAATTGTATCACAAGGTTCCATATCACTAAGGGAATGCTGGGATTGATTTTGGGGGTAATTGCCTCCAATTTTTTGGAATTAGGGGCAAAAAACAAGCATTTTTCTAGTTTCATGACAATAACTTGTGTATAAGTGTATGGATCTTTATGAAATTGTACTACAAGGTTCCATATCACAAAGGGAAAGCTGTAATTGAGTTTGGGGGTAATTGCCAAAAAGTTTTGGAATAAGGGGCCTAAAAGGGGCCAAAAATAAGCATTTTTCTAGTTTCCAGACAATAACTTGTGTTCAGGTGTATGGATCTCTCTGAAATTGTACTGCAAGGTACCATACCACAAAGGGAAGGCTGGGATTGATTTTGGGGGTAATTCGCTCAAAATTTTAGGAATTAGGGGCCATAAAAGGGCAAAAAAAACAAGCATTTTTCTAGTTTCAGGACAATAACTTGTGTGTAAGTGTATGGATCTTTATGAAATTGTACTGCAAGGTACCATACCACAAAGGGAAGGCTGGGATTGATTTTGGGGGTAATTCCCTCAAAATTTTAGGAATTTAGGGCCAAAAAGGGGCCAAAAAATAAGCAGTTTTCTAGTTTCCAGACAATAACTTGTGTTCAAGTGTATGGATCTCTCTGAAATTGTACTGCAAGGTACCATACCACAAAGGGAAGGCTGGGATTGAGTTTGGGGGTGATGAATCATAAGGGGGTTCAAAAAATTTTGGGGGGATTTTTTTTTCCTTTTTTTCTTTAAAATTTTCCATTTTAAATTGGTTATTTCTGATTTATATATAAAAGCAAATAATAATGATATGGTTTGAATAGGTAAATTAAAATTTTTTAAGTTCTTAGACCACTTTCATTCTGTGTCAGAAACCTATGCTGTGTCAAATATTTAATTACAATCCAAATTCAGTGCTGTATCAAGCTTGAATGTTGTGTCCATACTTGCCCCAACTGTTCAGGGTTCGACCTCTGCGGTCGTATCAAGCTGCGCCCCAGCGGAGCATTTTATTCTAGTTTCCAGACAATAACTTGTGTTCAAGTGTATGGATCTCTCTGAAATTGTACTGCAAGGTACCATACCACAAAGGGAAGGCTGGGATTGAGTTTGGGGGTGATGAATCATAAGGGGGTTCAAAAAATTTGGGGGGGATTTTTTTTTCCTTTTTTTTTCTTTAAAATTTTCCATTTTAAATTGGTTATTTCTGATTTATATATAAAAGCAAATAATAATGATATGGTTTGAATAGGTAAATTAAAAAAAATTAAGTTCTTAGACCACTTTCATTCTGTGTCAGAAACCTATGCTGTGTCAAATATTTAATTACAATCCAAATTCAGTGCTGTATCAAGCTTGAATGTTGTGTCTATACTTGCCCCAACTGTTCAGGGTTCAACCTCTGCGGTTGTATCAAGCTGCGCCCCAGCGGAGTATTTTATTCTAGTTTCCAGACAATAACTTGTGTTCAAGTGTATGGATCTCTCTGAAATTGTACTGCAAGGTACCATACCACAAAGGGAAGGCTGGGATTGAGTTTGGGGGTGATGAATCATAAGGGGGTTCAAAAAATTTGGGGGGGATTTTTTTTTCCTTTTTTTTTTCTTTAAAATTTTCCATTTTAAATTGGTTATTTCTGATTTATATATAAAAGCAAATAATAATGATATGGTTTGAATAGGTAAATTAAAAAAAAAAAGTTCTTAGACCACTTTCATTCTGTGTCAGAAACCTATGCTGTGTCAAATATTTAATTACAATCCAAATTCAGTGCTGTATCAAGCTTTAATGTTGTGTCCATACTTGCCCCAACTGTTCAGGGTTCGACCTCTGCGGTCGTATCAAGCTGCGCCCCAGCGGAGCATTTTATTTTTAGTATTGTGACAAAGACACCTTGTGTAATCAACTCCTTGGAGACCATTTGGCAGAATCTCTCATACTGGATAGGATTATTTGCCATCAAGTGTTGTTGATATAATTATCTTCTTGATATGGATTTTATAGTATCATAAAATAAGCAAATAACAAACAAAAGTACATTTGCAAGAAAATGGTAAATGTTTTTCTATGTAATCTGCAATGACAAAAAAGTTATAAATAAGATAAAACAGAATCAGTGGTATATTATATGGTACATACAGTGGTATATTATATGGTACATACAGTGGTATATTATATATGGTACATAGGCATTTATATAAGAAAATCTTTGTACTGTGCTGTTTTAATAATGATTGGTTGCCTTGTTTGGAATATATGTGATGCATATATATGTACATGTATACCATTTTCTTTTCAGAGAAGCAAGGTCATTAGGTCCAATCCGATCCTTTGAGATGCAGATTTCTCCAACAGATCCAAACCATTTTTATATAGGGACAGATGGGGTGGGTTTATATATATATTTTATGTTTCTATTTTTGTTTAATTAATTGAAATATTTCTTATTCATCTACATTTGCTTGTTCTTATCTGTTCAGTGTTTGCAATATAATTTGGACATAAATTTTGCTGTTGTTTTTTTTTGGGGATTTTCAGGACAATAAAGTGCTGCCTGTCAAATTTTCCTTGTAATCAAAATAATTTTAAGCAGCAAATTTATTTTTTTAAATTACTTAAAAGTTTCACTGTCTTTTGCTGTATTTAATATCGGTTCAGGAAATACTTACATTTTATATTATATTTTCAGGGATATGTACTACATGGCTTACGATTTGGTAATAGAGCTTTTCCAAGAACATTCTCAGCTTTAACAGGTACTATGTGAAATGATAAAAGGCAAAAAGAGCAATGTGTCAGTTAAAATATTTGGACTTTAAAGAATGTATAAATTCACACTAGTGGACATCTTAGTCTTGTCTTGAGGAACTCATAAGATCATCTTTGAAAACCCTCCTAAGATAAAGCATATATGGGCGAACATAATTGTAAGGGGAGGAAGAAGGGACAAGAAAAGGAATGTTAAGAAATTTTTTGTGTTGCTTAAAAGTTTTATTCTTTTCCCCAAATTTGTTTACCCTGCCTAGAAATCTTTTGACGTGAAAAAGGAGGTTTTTGGCCTATTTGATATATTTGATCCTTCACTTACACAAAAATTGGCTAAAAAGTGTGGGTGGTGTAAAAAGAGTTTCCCAAGACAAAAGAAAATAGCTTCAAGTTTCAGGCAACATTCTTTTCTGCCTCTAATAAAACAAAAAACAACGAGAAAAGGATGTATTTTTGTTATCTGCTAGTATTTTGGGTGATTATTGAAGCATTGTCATCAACACTGTATCTCTACTTTTCAAACATAATAAATGTTCAATATTTTGTATTTTTCCAAACATGATTGTTACAAGAGGATTTTAAATGATCATGTTGATGAAACTGAATTCATGGTAAGTCTCCCTTTTTATGCCCCACCTACGATAGTAGAGGGGCATTATGTTTTTCGGTCTGTGCGTAGGTTCGTTCATCCGTCCGTCTGTCCGTTTGTCCGTTCGTCCGTCTGTCCCGCTTCAGGTTAAAGTTTTTGGTCAAGGTAGTTTTTGATGAAGTTGAAGTCTAATCAACTTGAAACTCAGTACACATGTTCCCTATGTTATGATCTTTCTAATTTTAATGCCAAATTAGAGTTTTGACCCCAATTTCACGGTCCACTGAACATAGAAAATGATAGTGCGAGTGGGGCATCCTTGTACTATGGACACATTCTTGTTCTTGTCTGATTTATACCTTTCCTAACAGGCTGACATTAGATATAAGGGATACTATATTTGAAGTTTGAAGACATGAAGCAAATATATGAGTATGATAAAATACAAATATAGTATGAGATATGTCTGACAAACTAATGTATTTTGAAAATAGGAAAGATATTATTTGACAGATCTATAATACTGATTCAAGTATGAAAATGACATTATAATACCTTCATCAGTTAAATATTGACGATTGGTAATTATAAAAATAAAACAAAATTGAACTGAGTGTTTTGTGGTAAAATTAATTTCTCAAAGTCTGGATTTTTTATATTTTGTTTCAGATTCTCCTGTAGATGTTAGGAGTATAGATTTTTCACCTTTTGGTCATCCATGTTTTCTGGTAAGTTAATTATGGATCATCAATTCTATAGTATATTTCATTTTCATTTATTTTAAAGCCCAGCCTAAGAAAGTACAGGAGCATTATGTTTCCAGGTTTGTATGTCTGTCTGTCTGTCCCTTATCAGGTAAAATTTTTGGTTTCATTTGGTTCATGGTAACATGGAGAGTAAAGTGTCCTATTGACACAGATTCTTGTTTATCTGGTAACTTAATGCCTTATGTACAAGGGACCATTTCAGAAATTCAACTCCCATCCTTGTAAATTGTCACATGGTCCTGACAAATCATGATCTTTTTCGAAAAATTACAATGGATTCTTGATCTACTGGCTTTCCCCTTGCTCTATGGTTACCTTCAACAATAAAAATTGTTCAAGTATATAGAAAGTAGCACTATACCCCATCAGTGAAATAAGCATAGGAAAATGAAAGTTATGTTTTTTTAAAATTGAAAATATTTTAATTAGCTATTTCATTGGTATTTCAGGCATCAACAGCAGAAGGTTGTGTTCACTTATTTGGGACCAAATCAGGTAAATTTAATTTCTCTTTAATTATACATAAAACATTTTTTTGGATGGGAATATCTACACATGCTGGAAACTTTTTCAAATTATTTAGAAATATTATACATTTAGTTGTATAGCAATTTTTCACTGAACGAAAAGTCTTTTGTAGATTCACATGCTTGGTATTTTCATGCATTTACCTTAAACATTTTGTGAAACTCATCAAATATGACCTCAGGTCATTTGGTTTTGTACATAGACTTATTCTAGACAAAGTGCATGACCTCAGACCATTGCATAGCACTTTTAAATGCTTTTAAAAAATTAATGATATTTAAAATGGATTTAACTGTAATTTCACTCCTCTTGTGGTTTTTGTCAATCCTGACGGCTACGGCGGCTGCGTTAGCTAACTTCTTAAAAGCTTTATATTTTAGAAGGTGGAAGAAATGGATGCTTCATACTTTGTATATGGATGCCTCATGTTACGAAATTTCCGTCAGTCACATGTCCAATGTCTTTGACCTCATTTTCATGGTTCAGTGACTACTTGAAAAAAAGTTAAGATTTTTTGTAATGTTAAATTCTCTCTTATTATAAGTAATAGGATAACTATATTTGGTATGTGCATACCTTGCAAGGTCCTCATGTCTGTCAGACAGTTTTCACTTGACCTCGACCTCATTTCATGGATCAGTGAACAAGGTAAAGTTTTGGTGGTCAAGTCCATATCTCAGATACTATAAGCAATAGGTCTAGTATATTCGGTGTATGGAAGGACTGTAAGGTGTACATGTCCAACTGGCAGGTGTCATCTGACCTTGACCTCATTTTCATGGTTCAGTGGTTATAGTTAAGTTTTTGTGTTTTGGTCTGTTTTTCTTATACTGTATGCAGTAGGTCTACTATATTTGGTGTATGGAATGATTGTAAGGTGTACATGTCTAGCTGGCAGGTGTCATCTGACCTTGACCTCATTTTCATGGTTCAGTGGTCAAAGTTAAGTTTTTGAGTTTTGGTCTTTTTTTCTAATACTATATGCAATAGTTCAACTATATTTGGTGTATGGAAATATTTTATGATCTATATGTCAGTCACGCAGGTTTTATTTGACTTTGACCTCATTTTCAAGGTTCATTGCTCAGTGTTAAGTTTTTGTGTTTTGGTCTGTTTTTCTTAAACTATAAGCAATAGGTCAACTATATTTGTTGTATGGAAGAATTGTTAGCTGTACATGCCAGCCTAGCATGGTTCATCTGACCTTGACCTCATTTTCATGGTTCATTGGTCAATGTTTAGTTTACTTGGTTAATGTTAAGTTTATGTGACAGTTGTAATAAAGCTTCATATTTAGGACTATCAACATAATATCAATGATTAGTAAAGAAGGCAAGACATTTCAGCATGTGCACTCTTGTCTTTCTCAGTTACTGGAACAAGCTTCTTGAGATTCTCAATAATATATCAATTTATCAATTTGAAACCATTGAAAACATGACACCACCATAATTGTTGAAGAGATGTTTTGTTATTAAGAATTAACAGAGATTTCCATCCTCTTAACTGATTTGCCTTTTTATCTAGATATCTTTGTTTTAGACGGTAAGGTTACAGATGTGTGTCTGTTTTTTAGATAACCTCACTTCAGAGATTCACATATTTTATATGAGATTATCCTTCACTTGTATTTTAATACATGTTATTTGTGTAAATTCAGTTTTTGTAATACAAAGTTTTGCATATCTTACTGTTTCATGATATATCTGTAATGTGATATCTGAACTTACAAACAGTATGAACATACCATTGAAAGTTCTTTTACTGTTTAAGATTAAAAAAAAGTAGGCTGTACTCTTAGTCAATCATTTGAGGTAATGTTTTATGAGTTTCTGTAGGCTGTAATTGTTTAAACAAGTGTTAATCATGTTTAAAAATATTTAGTGTCAATCATGTTTATTATATACTTAGTATTAAATACAAATAAATTGTATGTGTAATATAATCAATGGCAATCGTTCTATATTGGCCATCCATGATGATATTGATATCAGTGACAGGTGATGGGTTTCATTAAACCCCAAAATTTTTACGTCATACAGACATGAAACATCTAATATTTAATAATAAATTGTATATTATATGGCTTTAAAATATCACATACCGTATCAACCCTCACCCAATATTATCCTTTGTGCAGAGTTTTGTAACTGTATTCAACATCACTTTGAGGAACATTAGGCTTTGAACATTTTGCCAGGATTGTGAAATTAAAGCATCTTATTTACACAGAGTGAAAGTTTCAAAGCAGACAACATCCTGTTTTGGCTATAGGATTCTTTTTGTCGAGCCTGCGACTTTTGTCGCAAAAGCCAGACATAGCGATCATACATTCCGTCGGCGTCTGCGGCATCAACAAATATTCACTCTGTGGTTAAAGTTTTTCAATTTTAATAACTTTCTTAAACTATCCTGGATTTCTACCAAACTTAGACAGAAGCTTGTTTATGATCATAAGATAGTATCCAGAATTAAATTGTGTAAAAAAAAAATCCTGTTTATCCGTTTTTTACTCATAAATGGACTTAATTTTTCTGCCAGTTAACATTACATTCACTCTGTGGTTAAAGTTTTTCAAATTTTAATAACTTTCTTAAACTATCCTGGATTTGTACCATACTTGGACAGAAGCTTGTTTATGATCATAAGATAGTATTCAAAAGTAAATTTTGTTAAAAAAAAATCCTGTTTATCCGTATTTTACTTATAAATGGACTTAGTTTTTCTTCCAGTTAACATTACATACAGTCTGCAGTTAAAGTTTTTAAAACATTTATTAGATTCATAAACCATCCTGGATTCTTACGAAACATGAACAGAAGCTTCTTACATTCAAAAGATAGTATCCAGAATTTTTGATAATTATTTCCCCATTTTTGTTGAGCCTGCGACTAACAGCAAAAGTAGGCGAGACACTAGGTTCCGCAGAACCCTTACGATTTTTTTTTGAAATCTAGTAACTCAATATTTATTTTTTTTTAAAATGAATTGTTTAGTTGAATAGTAATATCTGTCTTGATTGACAATTAGGAAAATTAAATAATAGGAATAGTATTTCACAACCCTGTTGGGAATCTTCTTAAAAATGTATGTGAATTAAAGCATTAGTCTTCCTGGGTTGATTCATCAAAATATTTTGTCTTTTTACACCAATCAGTGAGATATTTGAGCACTCTACTTAATATTGTGTGTTATTTTAGACTTACCAAACTGAATTATAGACTAAAGGTAGATAAATACTAGCATTTATATGTGATGATAATGGTGCACAAGCTGCGTAATTTCAATTAATGCTAAAGTTCAATTGAATAAGCTCAAAGTTTTAAAGTAAAATTGTATTTATGTTTAACATCATCCTTAATTTCACAGTACATTGTTTTTGTCTCGCCTGTCGTGGAAAGCGAGACATAGGGATTGCTTTTCCGGTGACAGCGTCAACAATTGTTAAGTTTTCTGCTCAAGTTAGTTTGATAGGAACTACTTGTGATAGATCAATGATATTTTGTATGAAGTTGCATTACTATCAGTACATATCAGTTTGACAACTATTTTAAGGCCCTGCCCCCTAGGACATGGTCAAGTGACTTTGAATTAATTACCAATTTTCAATGTTAAGTTTTCTGCTTAAGTTAGTTTGATAGGATCTAATTGTGATAGAACAATGATATTTTGTATGAAGTTGCATTACTATCAGTTCATATCAGTTTGATGACTATTTCGAGGGCCTGCCTCTAGGTCATGGTCCAGTGACTTTGAATTAATTAACAATTTTCAATGTTAAGTTTTTCTGCCTAAGTCAGTTTGATAGGAACTACTTGTGGTAGATCAATGATAAATTGTATGAAAACATTACTATCAGTACATATCAGTTTGACGACTATTTTGAGGACCTGGCCCCTAGGACATGGTCCAGTGAATTTGAATTAATTAGCAATTTTCAATGTTAATTAAGTTTTTCTGCTTAAGTTATATTGATAGGAACTACTTACAATAAACAACGATATTTTCTATAAAGTAACATTACTGTCTGTACATCTCAGTTTGTCAACCATTTTCAGGCCCTGCCCACTAGATAATGGTCCAGTGACTGAATTAATAAGCAATGTTGCTGCCCATCAGATTGTCTTTTTCTGAATTGTATGCCCATAGGCGAGACATATCTCTGTGTCAACAGTTTATATTAAATACTGTTTAATATAGAGGAATTATTGATAAATTGTGGATTACTAATTTTGTTGATATTCTGTTTAGATGAACAAGGAATTTAAGCGTTAACTAAATGAAATTTTCTTGTAGGCTTGTATGCAGAATTTGTCAAAACCATGTAAAGAAGTATCCATTAAATTATTTTCCCTCAATTGGCAGAAAAATTTATCCACAAAAATAGATAGAATATTTTGTCTTGTTATCCAAAAACAGTGAAGGTATCTTAGCACTCTTCTTAATATTTTGCATGATTCAAAACTTGCTGGACTGTAATCTGTATGAAAGATGAAAATATATATATCTACTTTTTGACTTTTATTTACTAATTTCATGGCATAAAACATTTATGTATGTATATCAGCTACAGAATATATTTTAATAATTTTCAGAAAAACCTTTGTTGACCTGGCCTTCCAAAATATGGGGAACAAGGGACTTGAGATGTGTACGATGGTCACGCAGTAGACCTTGTGTATTTTATGTGCTGGATGACCATTCACAACTTTATACATTTGACATTTTGGAAGGGGATGCAATGCCTGCAAAAATGGAAACTTTATCTAAAGAAAAGTAAGTATAAAAAATATGTTATTATTTAGAGATTATTGCTTTAGAAGTACAAGCTTAACAACAGACATCACGGAAAATAATTGAGAGAAAATTTTATCATTACTTTCCCATTCAATATTTGCCAATGATTGGCATTGCATTGTAATTTTGTCTTAAATAACATCTTTACTTAACCAATTCAAAAATTATTTTCATTTGAATAATGAATGTACAAAGACAATCATGAAAATGTTTGTTCCTGAACTCAATACCCACAAAAAATAAATGAAAGATTTTTCTATTGAAATCCAAATCAGTGAAGATATCATAGCACTCTACATTATATTTTTATACAGAATGATTCTATGCTACTTTTACATTTTTATTTCAGTGTTATACATATAGCCTTCACACCACACTTAAATGTTACAGGACGGCATCCTCAGATGGTGAGTTTGAAAAATGTGATTGTAGAAATTGAAATGGAATGTAAGATATGGAATGTGAATGTAAAAATTGGAATGTAAATGTAAAAAAATGGAAATGTGAATGTAAAAATGTGAATGTAAATGTAAAAATGGGAATGTAAATGTAAAAATGGGAATCTGAATGTAAAAAAGGGAAGGTGAATGTAAAAATGGGAATGGAATTGTAAAAAATTGAATTATGAGCATAGCCATGAATATTATGTATTACTCAAGAAATTGTTCTGGGTTTTTGCATTTAACAGATTTAAACTGTATACTGAGACATTGCTATAAAACTTGTGAATTCTTGTTATGAATATAGATCAGGGCACATGTCAATGATAAGCAATCTAACAACATGCCAAACAATCTTGACTTAATGTGCTCAACTCAAGTGGTGGATGTATTCAGTCCAGTTCCTTGCTGAATCAAGTCAAAGATGTTTAAATTGATATTTGCTGATTCTTTGCCAAATATGTGGCATTAAAAAGTACGGCACATTCTTATCCCATTACAATGTTATTTTTGATTATTCTAGTAATATTTGCCACTGTGCATTAGTTTATTAATCTGATCACAAATGGTATGCATACAGTTGAACATTTCACTGTCTGAAAATGTTTTAGTTATTGCTACTGATTTTGGAATGATTAGTGCTTACCTTGTAATCTAAATATTTTAAGTAGCCTGTCTCATATATTTTAAATATTGTACAATTGAAAAATTATCATTATAAACCATGGCTGTGTGTATCAAAGCAATCCTTCATTGTGCAATGTTTTTTTAATTATTCGTTTTGTTTTTTTCCTACAGCTTGTTAGTCAAGAAGATGGCACGATACAAATACACACAATATCTAAAGAGTACCGAGAACAACAAACACTAGAGAATGATTTCTTACCAAGCTATCTAGACAAATTCTGATTTGATGGTCCTCTCAATACACACAGGAGTAACAACATATCATGTTATCTAGACAAATTCTGATTTGATGGTCCTCACACAGGAGTAACAACATATCAAGTTATCTTGCACAAATTCTTATCATTTAGGCAATTTAGAGAAAACAATGTATCATATCATACCATACTGCGAACCAATGAATAGGACCAGTTGATAATTGTGAATGATTTGATTGGCTCCATTTACTTGTTTAATTGAAATAAATGGAACAGATATCAACTGAGCAACAAGAAGATGCAAAAAACTGAACATATATACATAGAATACATCAAAATTTATTACTTGATTGTTGTATTATAAAATTCATCATCTGGTACTTCAGATAGACCTTCTGTAGAATGTATGAAGGATATGGTTAGGACATACCTGCTCATGTGCCAAGTTGTATGAATGAAAAGTTAAGTTAAGATGCTACATGTGTATGTGTAAGAAGAGATTTTAATGACAGATGAGCTACTTATTGATACATCTGTCTTTCATACTAAGTGTTAGGTAATATACCAAAAATATAAGATGTGTTTTCCTGTCAAGTACTGTAAGAGACAGAAATGGAATTGTTTACATTCTTGTCCTTTTGTCTCTTGTGGATCTTGTCTCATTGGAAACAATACCACATCTCCTTGTTTTTATACTAGTGAATACAACTTTTGGGTCCATTTGTTAAAGACAAACTCCTGGCAAGGGACCAAATCATATATATCAATGTTTATATTCCGTCCATTTGTGTCATGTGTTCTTTTGTGTTCACATTTTGTTTGTGTAGTGTATTGTTGTTTGCAAAAAAAAGCAAGATATTGTAGATTGTTTAATAATATTTTCTAAAAGTTGTGGAATAGTACACTTTTGTATGTGAATTACTGTACTTTAAGGTATGTGCTAGATGGATGTAGATTGGTTGCATCTATAGATATCATTTCAAAATAAGGAAAAAAATATTCAGTATACAATTTCAAGCTACAGTTTTCCAATGTTATATAACTATTACCTATTTGATCTTTGGGACACTTTTAAAAGATAGAATTATTAAATACAAGAGTGTTCAGTAATTTTGAAAGTTACAGGGAGATAACCATTTTGGCATATTTTCATAAAAATGGTAATAATTTTATAAGTCTACATATTTATTTAACTTGGAGTGTGTCTTAAATAATAGTCATTTTTTATGAGTTACCATGATACTATTAAATTGGTCATAGGTTATTTCTTTTTATGTCAGAATATTGCAAAACTTTGTTACAAATTTCATTAGTGTAATTGACTTGTTTTTGTTGTGAAAAATCATTCATGGTACCGGTAATACAGACGTTAATACTGAGCAGAAGCATTCCATTTAAACAGACAAAAAAACTAGAAAATTATGTATTTCAAAGTCTTGCATACAAAAAACAAGTCAGCATTGAATACAAACTAATGCCATACAAACTTCCATAAAATCACCTATAATATTAAGAAGAGTATGTGTGTCCTGTTTTAATTCAAATACCATTCATATTTCTTAGACCTGTGACCAAAAAAAATTATTGTAATATCTGTTATAAGGTGTTGAACAGGACATAGTAGACAAAGAACTCAAATGTTCTCCCCAATATATGATTTGAAATAGCACTGTTTCTCTTAAGTTATTGCACCACATTCTATTACTAAATGCATTCAGATAGCACTATCATGGTACCTCACCAGTCAAACATTTTTAAAATTGAATATGAATTAGTTATAATATAATTAGTCTAAGTTACTTACATATGAAGTAGGGAAAGAAAAGAAAAATGTAAAGCTTAATCAAATCTTTGAGTCAGCAGATCATTATTTTATTTTTTAACGTGTATTTGATTGGGATAAAATATCTCAAAAAAATTATTAAAAAAAAGTAAAATAACAATTTTATATTTGGTCCAGCTAGTTTTTGCAAGTTATTGTTTTTTGTTTTGACAGATGAGTGAATGATAATACAGATATTAGTATTAACAATTTTTACTTACGTAGTGCTTTATTTTATTTCTTTTGTGTCAGAAAAGTGCAAACAATTGTTACAGGTATCTGTTATAACTATAAATTATTTATTTATTAATTTGTTATTAATTATTAATTGTGATCAGATGTTCAATGTATGATGCACAGAAGTTATTATTGTGGACTAAGTCGAAGTCTGTTAAACTAATGGCAAAGTAAAAACAAGATTTTGGTAAAGTTACTTTCCTTATTTCTGCAAGTCACATGTCAGAAGTGAAGCATTATATGAGCTGCGTCTGATAGAAGTCGACCTTATGCAAATGAATATCAATACATCTGTTATCCTATCTCGGGGTTGAAAAAATCTATATGCAAAGTCTGTAACTGTTTCAAAATTGAGTTGTCATAAGAACCAAACAAAACAGACCAAAATTCATCTTTCATTTAGTATTTAAATGTTCCAAAATCAATCAAAGTCTTATACATGAACATGTATATGTGCACTTGCATAAGTTCTATTTCTATCTGACACAGCTCATATGCAATGTAGGTCTGTTTGATTTTTTTTTTTCATTTAAGCCCTCCGAAAGAAATTTATCAGTTATAAGTATGCAGAAGATAATTTTTTTATACCTTCAAGGAAGGATATTTTGCTATAAAAATTGTAATGATACATTTTATGAAAGTGACAGCCACTCATACCTAAAGTTAGGCTGTTATCTTAAATTTCCCAATAAAAAAGTTTACAACTTTGAAGTTGTGCTATTTACTCAAAGTGTTTTTAACAATCCTAACTGCAAAGCATATATAATTTTAGATATTTTATATCATGTGACTACTTAACACCAATGAAAACCATGTTGCAAAATATGAAAAAATATCCATATATGATCATATATGGTGTGAGAACAGAATACATTAGGGAAAGACTCCTCCATTCGTATAATTCTTAAATTAATTACTAACTTCTGATCAAAAAGCAGTTTCAACAATAATGCAAAATTAGAATGTACACTTAAACATGAAGTAACAAATTAGATTGCATATACTCAATTAAACATATTTATTTTATCTAGATCTCTATTTTATCAGATTTCAGGTGTTCAAACAAAAATTATTAAATGAAAACTATATTGGTAGTCTAAAGTTAAGTTATCTGAAACAAACTGTTTCACAATAGTAATATTGAGTTCAATAACTAAGAATTTACCATTTCAGAATCTTAAGCATCCAGAGTAAAATTTTGGAATAGTGCACCAAAATGTGTGATTTGTTATAATGGTCCTAAACAATGAAAATTCAACCAATGATTCTGAAATGAAATTCAAATTCAACTATCCAAATCAAGAAAATTGGGTAATACTGTTTATAATGAAGAATGTTTGGTAATTTATTTAAATGATACTGTAATAGTATAGTAATAGATGTTACATTGTGATATGTACATACTGTTATCAACATTTTTATAATGCTATTGTTTATTTTCTAAAGATCTAAAGTCTATTTTCAATAAATGGGAAGAAAAAAAAACTGCTTTTATTTTTCTTACTTAGAACCCCATGAACAACAATGATCTCTAAAGTGGAATTTGAAGAATGGACGCTTTTTCAGTCGTTTGGTGTTTTGAATGTTATGTTTTACCATCATTGTCAATTATATTCTAATTTGTAAACTCAAAGGAACATAAAATATTTATCCAATAACCACAAACTCTCACATTGGAGATGCCACTTGCGAGGACAAGTGCACATTTTATTATTCATATTTGTATAATAATTTGGAAAGTTCGTGTAAATACACAGAAAATTAGCAGCTGGCACTGATTTCCGCATACTAGTTGTCAACAAATCTGAAAATGAATAAAATAATTTATTGTATTATTTATTAGGTAAAATGTTTCTGTACAATTTGACTGCAATGACTCAAATTACTTTAAACCACCATAATTCACTTGTACATGAAATTCAATAACCCAAACCTTACTACATGTATAAATAACCAAACACATGTTACATGTAACTATAAACGAACAACATATTACAAGTTTTAATTTTTTGTTCAACTTTGATAAACTACATTTATTTGTTGATTTTTCTGTTAAAACACACAATGAAATTACTTCCTTATGGACTGTGATAAATATGTGCACATTGGACTATATTACAATCACCATGTTTGTTCGTTTGTCCAACAAAAATTTACCTTGCACATTTCTCAGTACCTACTCATCAAAATGACTTCATATTTGGTCAGGAGGTCAACAGTGATGAGTTGTAAGTGTGATCACTTTTCGGATCTGTCAAATACAATGTACGTACTTCTTGTTTGCCGATACTTAGAATTTTTCAATATATTGAATGAACATAAAACTGTTCCCCAACTTTTTTTCTCAGAAACTACTCAACAGAATGACTTCATATTTGGTCAGCAGCTATATAAAGTGATTAGTTGTAAGGTGTGAACAGTTTTTGGACCTGTCAGATACTTTACTTTCTGTATGCAAATACTTTGAATTCTTCAATATTCTGAATGAGCTCATATTTTTCTTCACACTTTTCTATGAAACTGCTGAACAGAATGTCTAAATATTTTGTAAGCAGCTCAATAGTAAAGAGCTGTCAGCTGTGTGCAATTTAAGATCGATCAGATAACACTTTCTGTTTTTCCGATACTTTGAATTACATGTTGGGTATGCTTAGCATGGCAATAGGTGCATTCTTGTTAAGATAGCTTGCAATTCACTAGCATTATGTATTTAAGATTTAAAAATGTTTATAGGTTAATGATTTTTTTATTGATTGGTGCTTGATTTATTCCACTGAATAGATAAATTCAGAAATTGTGTAACCTTATTAGAACATTGCTGTTTTTGAAGTTTACTAGAACACCAAGACTGAACAACATACCTTTCGAGGACAAAAGTCAGATTGCCCATCTGGAAAATTGCAAAAGTCAGGAATATAGTCGTTCTTGATTTAGGAAAGTCCTTGTTATAAGAACATAGAAATAAGAAATGTTAGATGAAATTGTACCACAAGGTTCCATACCTCTAAAGGAAGGTTTTGATTGATTTTGGGGGTTATGGTCAAAACCATTTACTAGGAATAAGGGGGAAAAAAACCAAGGATTTTCTGGTTTTCCGGAAAATAACTTGAGTATAAATCTATGGATCTCTTTGAAATTGTAAAACAAGGTTTCATATGAAAAAAGGAAGGTTGGGATTGATTTTGGGGGTTATGGCCCAAACCGATTAGGAATTAGAGGCAAAAAGGAGGCCAAAAACAATACTTTCCTAATGCTTTGTACAAACAAGTAATAGCTTTTCTAAAAAGCTTGCCGTATTTAAGCTGCTTATACATGTATTGAGATCGGTGGTTTGTGGGTATAGGGTTTTTTATTGGAATCTTGCACTCCAAGCATTAGAATATATAGTGTCTTTTTTCTCCTGATTTTTGATTTTAGTTGTAGTATTGGTGAATCAAGGTTATCATTGAAGGAGGCTTGATAGTCACATATGATAATATATATATATATATGGTTTGTAAAAGCTAGAGTAACGATACAAACACTTTTTTGTTTGTTTTGTGGAATATGATTGTTTACTCTTTATGACAATGCAAGTAGTTTTAACATGCATACTGTGTCTTGACAGTTATGTAATAGTTAGCAAGGTTATAATCAAGTTGATAAGAAAAACATATTATTTACTTTTGAGGATTACTGCTAGACAAAATGGACTACCAGTGGCAGATCTAGAAATTTTCATAAGAGGGGGCCAGCTCCAGTCATGCTTCAGTGATTCACTACATGTATATGATCAACCAAAGTTTTCTCACGAAAGGGGGGGGGTCCCCTGAAAAACTCTCTAAATCCACCTTTGACTACTATAGTTGGCCGTTCGAATATGAGAATATTACATCTTATATGTATAGAAGACAGTGGTCTCTTTAGCCCAAATTAGAAAGGGCGCCACACCCTGGGTGCCCTTAGCCACGCCCTGGGTGCCTTCAATTGCACCCCTCCCTGATGCCTTTTTCCAAGGGGGGAGAATAGTAAGTTTATTTCGCTTCTTTTGGTTAATAGTGATCTGATGTATGAATGTGTATTGCCATGTTTTATGAACATGTAGTATGAATGACTTTTGTAATGCAAGTTTTATAGAGTAAATAATCAAAACAACAACTTATGCATCTTTATTAACAACATATACAGTAAAAAAAAAAAAAGTGAACTCGTGATACACACAGAAACGTAGACAAAAGAAATGAGAAGTGCCTTTTCATATCATAAAAAAGTGCCCTGCCCTTCACTGGCATCCTGCCCCTTTCTATTTCTAGCTGGAGCACTTCAAGTGATGAATATTTCATCCAGATGTAGTATAACTATAAGAAGATGTTTTGTGGTAATGGATTTGGAATGAAATATTAATTGCAAATAATTTTCTAGAATATGTTGTCAGCTGGCTTCTTACATTTTTTATTATTTTGTTGCAGTTTGTAATCTTGACATTTTTTTTGTAAGTTCTATAGATGAGAGCTTCATATTGGTATTATCATTTAGTGCTTTATATTTGGTTGCATGTGTAAGCATATGCTTTTGTTAGTTGGAATATTTATATTTTCATTTCTGATGGCAACAAGTTCATGTAATACATATAGTCAGGATTATTAGTAAGCGATAGTTGTTTTGTTTGTTTATGTTTATTGTCATGATTGATATGGACTATATAACTTGCTGTTTGGTGTGAACCAAGGCTTCATGTTGAAGACCGTACTTCAACCTATAATGGTTTTCTTTTACAAATTGTGACTTGGATGAAGAGTTGTCTTTGGTACTGATATGACATTCTGTTATATCTATCGACAAGATTGAGAACACATTTTTTTGTAATAAAACATATTTAATTCTATGATATCATATTTAACAATTTATCCGTAATTTGTGCATTTTTCCTTTGATGTGTACTCTCTGATAATGTCACTATCAGTTGACTGGTCGTGATATATAAATTATTGGGTCAGTTCGCAATTGACATGCTCAGGTGCGCTGTGTCAGGATCTTCTTTCCCCTTTCATTCACAAAATCATGCATGATTTTTTTTTTGCAGATTCGCAAGAGTGTTTTGGTGAATGAAACACTTCTCATATTGTTTGAAAGTTTCAGTAAAGTTAGTTTTGCCTTTTTGACAGATTGTGTGAAAATTCGAACAGAATATGAATAAAAAACCCAATAAACTTTAAAAAAATGCACCATTATTAATAGCCTTCCTTGCTTATTCACAATGATGTACAAAATGCATAAATATATCATCCATGCTATTCCGATCTGAGTTTTTATTCATACATAGTCTGGTGCTGTTCCAAGTAGTCTTCTTTTTCTGTTTCATGAGAAGTATTTGTTTTACCTGTTCAGTCACTTTAAAGTGTTACAATTAATATTTAGACGCAACACAGAATAGTGACCAAAAAGGTACTGCTATCATATGAGAGGAGCTAGAAAAAAAAATGAAATGTACACATTATCAACATTTTTGTGGGACCATCAAGATGTGATTTCATTGTCAATATATAGACAGATATTCATAGACCAAATAACAAATAAGCAAAAGATTCAAAAGTAGATGTAAGATGAATTATAGAAAGAAGGGGTACCCGGGGGCCCGAAACTTGACAAGGTTTGGTTTGGAACAAGTAATATGTCTGCATTAACATTAAATGTAGGTTTCAGCTTTCCATAAACAGTCGGGGGTACTACTTGTACAAGTAATTTTTATTTACTTGAAGAAGTAAATATTAATATACTTATATAAGTAAATTTGTTGGATACTTATACAACTGTATTTTATTTACTTGTATAGGTAAATTATTTTTTGGCCTAATTATGTCCCTTAGACATTCAGATTTTTTTACTTATACAAGTAAAAAAGTCATCCCATCTTCCTTTCTTGAATTCTTAGAACTTCTTTGCTCTAACAGAATTTTGAATTGTCTGTCCTTTGCAGATGGCTTTACTAATCATTTAAGTGTAATTTCATGGACAATGAAAATCTCATTTGTCTGTTATCTTCAGAACACTGCTCATTTACAAGCCCCCAAGGAGCAATTTTTGAAGGCCTTGCGCAAATACTTAAGATCTTTGCGCAATCAGTTTCTTTGTTGAATTAATGAGATGAAACATTGAACTCTTATCAAAAATTATGAGCTAACCTGAGAAAAATTGTTAAAGGCATGATTTTACATCTTAAAACTTGAGAATTTTAGTGGGATTGTAAAAAAAATTTACTTATACAAGTAAATTTTTGAAAAAATTAAGGGGAGATTATTCAAACATTATAATTAACTTATATAAGTATATTTTATTTACTTCTTCAAGTAAATAAAGATTACTTGTACAAGTAGTACCCCTGACTTATAAATCCTTTTCTGAAATTAAAAGTAACCACATATTTCTGGGCGCAGTTGAAAAATAAATGAACATGACTTTGAAAAAGCAAGAATATTAAGCTAAAAGAAATAGACCAAATTTGGATGACATCTATTA